AATTGTGTTTTTTATAACACTTTTTTTTATAACACTTTTTTTTTAAAACTTACCTAGAAAAACAATAAATGCATAGTATTTGGTTGTTGTATGTATTTAATTCTTGTCAAATAATAATATAATTGTATAATGCAGTACTTTTAAATAAAAGCATGCAAAACATTGATAACCAAAACGTTGCTTTAATGTTTTATCAACATTGATCCAACCTTATGAAAAAATTAGGTTAAGTTTGCATCAACGTTGGCGCCTTATTGGTATATTATTTAACGTTTTCTTTTTTAACAATGTTGGGCCAAAGTATTGGTGTCTTTTAGAGACTTGTTTATGTGTACTACACGTCTAGTATGAAAATGTTTAATGAAAATACTTTTGTTTCCTGCTAGCAAAAATTTGAAAAAAATTACATGGTATTTATAAACTATATTAATGGATATATAATAGATACATACTCAGTCGGGTATTTATATATTTACATTATTCATAATCATATTTGATATCAGCTTGTTGTATTTTAAATAAAAGCATGAATTGGAAGATCGATCTAGACGTAACAATTTAAGAGTAGATGGAACTGATGAAAATGAAGGTGAAAGCTGGGAAGAAAGCGAAATGAAGGTAAAAAAAATTTTTGAAGATATATTATCAGTTAAAAATGTCCAAATTGAACGGGCCCATAGAACTGGAAACAAAAAATTAAAAATGCCGAGGACAATAGTGATAAAACTTTTAGATTTTAGAGATAAAGTCGCGATCTTGAGCAAGTCGAGTAAGCTAAAAGGGAAAAACATTTATATAAACGAAGACTTCTGTTTTGAAACAACACAAATCAGAAAAAATTTGAGGGAGAAAATGAAAATTGAACGAGCCGCTGGTAAGTTTGCCTTCATATCTTATGATAAATTGATAATTCGCGATTGGGTTGCAAAGAAAAGCAAAAATTTATCTTCATAATATTTGGCATTAATTAACGCAATTTTATTTTTATTATTACTACGCATATTTAATTAAACTGTTTTAAAAATGGAGGAAAATGTCATATTTAAATCTTCTAATGAAAATGACATCATCGGTGATAATGACACCGACTCTAATTATTTTAATCACAAAATGCTAGAAAGTCAATACTACTCAGTTTCTGAATCTTCGCAATATCTAGGACAAGCTAAAAACACTTTTTCAATTTTAAATATCAATATTCGAAGTTTAAATAAAAACTTTGAAAATTTAAAAATTTTATTGGATGAAATTAAACACGATTTTAAAATTATATGTTTGACGGAAACTTGGTGTAAATGCGGTGAAACAAATTATGAATTTGAACTAGTTAATTACACATCAATTCACCAACCGCGTGAAGTTAATGCGGGTGGGGGCGTTAGTATTTTTATCCATAATTCAGTTAATTATATTTTACGTAACGATCTCTGCGTCAATGAAACAGATTATGAATCATTGTGCGTCGAATTAGTAAATAATAAAGAAAAAAACATAATTATAAATACTACATATAGACCACCATCTGGAAACTTAAAGAAATTAAAAACTCGTCTTAAAACATTTCTTAACAAAGTTACAAATTCGAGAAAACATATTTATTTGGTGGGGGATTTTAACATTAACCTGATCAACTATGCTTCAAATAATAATACTAAGAATTTTATAAATACTCTTCTACAATATAACTTTATCCCAACAATAAACAAATCAACAAGAATAACAAATAGGTCTTCTACTCTACTTGATAACATCATAACTAACAACTTTCATAATAACCCTCTTTACACAGGTATAATCCAGACCGATTTATCGGATCATTTTCCTACATTCTTAGCTACAAATAACATTTTAATTAACAATATTTCCACAAAATCCATAATAATTCGGCGACAGATCAATGAAAACTCCTTAAAACAATTTGAAAATTGTTTAAAAAATTGTGTTGATTGGAATCTAGTACTGCAATCAAATGAGGCTAACAATGCATATGACTTGTTTCTTAATCAATTTTGCAAACAATATGAAATAGCGTTTCCAGAAATTAAAAAAGTCATAAATACCAAGTCACTTCAAGCTCCCTGGATGTCTAAAGGCTTACTAAAATCTTCAAAAAAGAAAGAAAAATTATATATAAAATATCTTAAAAAAAAAACTTATAAAAATGAAATAACTTACAAAAATTATAAAAATATATTTGAAAAAACCAAAAAATACTCAAAAAAACTATTTTATGATCAATTATTAAAGAAAACCAACGGAAACACTAAAAAAATATGGAATTTAATTAAGGATTTAATTGGAAAAAATAAATATAACAAAAGCACTCTGCCAAAAAATCTTTTAATTAATGGAGAATTAGTTTATGAAAAATCAATTATAGCTGAAGAACTAAACAACTACTTTGTTAATATTGGCCCGAATTTGGCTGCTAAAATATCTACTAATTCCATTCCATTTGATTCATACTTAAAAACTTATGATAAACTTATGGATGAAACTGATTTAAAACTGAGTGAGTTGAAAACTGCATTTAGCAGTCTCAAAAGTAAAAAAAGTGAAGGTTTTGATAAAATTAGTGTTGATGTTGTCAAATCAGTATTTGAAGTCATTGAACCTTCTTTATTTCACATTTTCAATCTCTCATTAAAGTCAGGTATTGTTCCTAATAAATTAAAAATTGCCCGTATAACACCAATTTTTAAATCTGGAGATAAGTCAAATATTTTAAATTACAGGCCTATATCAATCTTACCTTGTTTTTCAAAATTGCTAGAGAGAATAATGTATAACAGACTTTATAATCATCTAACTGAGAACGACATGTTGTATTGTAAACAATTTGGTTTTAAAAAAAAAAATTCCACTGAACACGCAGTAGTTGAACTTTCCAATCAAATATCTAATGCCTTAAATAATGACTGTTTTACATTAGGAGTTTTCATTGATCTGTCAAAAGCTTTTGATACCGTAAATCACTATATACTAATAAAAAAACTCGAAAACTACGGTGTAAAAAATAAAAACTTACTTTGGTTCAAAGATTATCTGACTAACAGAAAGCAATTTTTATACTATAATAAAAATAATACAATTCCACACTCCATAACTTGCGGGGTTCCTCAGGGTTCTATTTTAGGACCACTTTTATTTATATTGTACATAAACGACTTATACCTATCAACAAATCTTTTAGACCTAATTTTGTTTGCTTATGATTCAAATCTTTTTTGTTCTCACAGAGATATTAAATCACTTTTTAAAATAGTTAACGAACAGTTATGTAATGTTAGTGCATGGTTCGTAAGTAATAAACTTTCACTAAATGCGGAAAAAACAAAATATATGCTTTTCCATAAAGTAAATAAATCAGAAAATATTCCTCTTAAATTACCAGATCTTAATGTTAATAAAACTTATATTAAAAGGGAATCTTACATAAACTTTTTAGGAGTAAAATTGGATGAAAATTTAAAATGGTGTTCACATATAAATAGCATTGAAAAAATAATCTCAAAAAATATTGCAATGATGTTTAGGGCTAAACCCTTTCTAAATATATCATCTCTGAAAAAATTATATTTCGCCTTTATTCACAGTTATTGTCTTATTGTAATGTTGTGTGGGCTAGTACTAGTCATACAAAACTAAAGAAACTCTACAATAAACAAAAACATGCATGTAGAATAGTATTTGGAGCCGACAGAAATGTTCCTTGCGAACCACTTCTAAGTGTGCTCGGTGCTTTAAATGTATATAAACTTAATTTACACCAAGTTTTATTGTTTATGTTTAAAACAAAAAAGGATTTGTCTCCTAAAATATTTCAATCTTATTTTAATAAAATTAACCATAGGTACTCAACAAAGTTTTCAGAAAACAATTTTGTTGTTCCAAAACATAAATTAAAATTAACTTCCTATTCAATTAAATACCGCGGACCTTATCTGTGGAAGAAATTTCCAGATATTGTTAACAAAAAGCAGACTACATTAGAGCAATTTAAGGATGAATCAAAACGATTATTATTGTTCATGGATCTCAATAAATCCGACTTTAAATGTTTATTTTAAAGTAAACACAATAAAAAATAAATAAAAAAAAAAACAGATTCAATTATATCAATGATATATGATAATATGAATAAGAAAAGAAAGAAAAAGGAAAAAAAGAAAAAAAAAAAAAAAAAAAAAAAAAGAATAAGAAATCCAAGTGATGATGTCACAAGTGATGATGTCATAAGTGATGATGTTACATATTCATTTTGTGTTAATTATGAGATTTTATTTTTTCAATTTCTTTTATATTCAGGAATTTTTTTTTTTTTTTTTTTTTTTTTTTTTTTATATTAACTTATTTCTTAAACATTTTAGCAACTGTTAAGCATCTTAACGCTTCTTAATTAATTCTTATTTTTTATTTTTTTTATTATATTAGTTATTTTCTATTTCATTTCTAATTGTTTCTTTTATATATATATTTGTATGTTACGGTTATGTAGAATTTTTAATGGGGCTCGGCGATAAGGCGAAATGTGCCTTCTTCTTGCTCCAGCCATCAATTTATAAAAATGTATATGCAATGTAAAAATTTTTTAACAGCGAAATAAATTACACTAAAAAAAAAAAAAAAAAAAATTTATTTTTTCAAATAATGGAGTTATATACGACTGTTTCTTGGAGTTATATACGACTGTTTCTTTATGCCTATGATAATTATTTTTTATATATCTATGTCACCGGTCTGATTAAATGGTATGCTCACAAGCAACCGTTCCATTTTTGGAATTGTAATGACATTGTAATAGTAAAATATATACACTAAGATAATAAAAAAAGAAAAGAAACTCTCTTCATATCGGAACCAATTTTAGCACTTTTCATTTACTCATTTGTTTAGTACAATCTTTATTACATACAAGTTTTTCAGTCTTTTTATTACATACAAGTTTTTCAGTATTTCTTTGAAAGATTTTAGTTTTATGAATGCATTTGTATTTTTAGGTGCTTATACGCAATGTCTTGTCTTGGACTTGGATTTATAAAAGCCGGTAATACTTTTACTCGAATAACAATCAATTTTTATAATTTTTTTTTTTTAATTTTATTAATTTATCTTTTTTTGCAGTATATTACAAAGTTTATAAAAATATATAAAAAAGAGAAAAATTAAAAATAAAGATATCCTCAGAAATAAAGAATACAGAAACAGAAGAAGACAATAAAGTCTTATCACCAAGATCAATTAAAATATTTAGTTTATTCGAAATTTTAAGTTTTCTTTGATTGGTTTATTTGTGGAGGTCGGGCGCGTAGTAATCAAACAGTAGAGTCTTTTGAAAGATTCGTTTATGCTAATAATGGTCATAGTTTTCTGAATAAATATTACACCTTGCGTCTACCATTTTGGCAATCATAAACAAATATTTTTTGCCGAAATCAAAATTGATGATTTAGAAATCTATATTCAACGAACTGTATTTTCTTTTCATTATTTTTTTGTTTCATTAGTCGTTTTAATAATAATTATAATGGAAAAAATAGCACCTTTTCATGGATCATAAAAAGATCTTTCTTTCTTTATCCTTCATGTAATGCTAAATTTTAATAAGACCTAAGGCCGTTTACTAATTAAACTTTTACAAAAACATACTTTTTACTAAATGGGTTCGTTTAGGGTCTACCGGAGTAAAATAGGAAATTTTGGGAGATTTTTTTAACATTCAAATGCCATTAATTTGCAAACCAATTAAATAAAGACCTGAGATTTAGCAGGCAAAATAAATATTATATAGGGTAGATTAGGGTAATATGAGCACCCTGGTAATATGAGCATACTTAAAGATTTCTCAGATGCAAGCAGTGAAGGTAAAGTTGCTTTATATTATTTGAATCCATTTTTTGTAGTGATAACAAAAATCAGTACAATTAGTGCAAATTTATTTGCAGTAATTAGCGGCTATCATCTAATTAAAATGTTAATTTTTAAATTTTTAAATTGTTGTTAAACTTTTTGCGTTATTAAAGTAATATCATCTCGCATAAATAAATCTGTCGCGCGAAACTTTGGTGCTAAAATAATGAAATTAATTTTATTATAAAGAAAAATATGCTAGCTAAAAATCTAATCTATATTTGTTTGAAAAATAATGTATAGAAATATTTAGATTTGACTTTATTTAAAGATGCAATTTTTGTGTAATATGAGCATGCTCAAAATACCCATTGTTCAAAGGTTCAAGTTAAAAAAATTGAAAAAATAACGAACTAATTTTTTTTGTTTTTTTGTTGTTGCGGAAAACATAGTAATATTGCTTCAACAAAAAGTGGCTTAATATTTGATCTTTTAATGATAATTTTTGTTAATAACGAATCATTATATTCTAAAAAATTAGTTCTAATTGTCAGGTTGGTACTCTTTTACTCAATTAGTGAACTTATTTAAAATGCTCATATGGCGCAGTGGTTAGAGCGCTTGCCTTATAAGCAGGATATCCAGGTTCGAAACGAGCTTAGGACTTATTTCACGTCACGGTTAGAAAGAAGGCGTGAACTTCCTGGTTAAATGCACTTCCGCGGTGCTCTGTGACAAGACCGTTAGGACTTCCTGGGGCACCTAAGTAACAAGTTAAAAAAAAAAAAGCATAATTATTTTTAAAAATATTTCAATATCGCTTAAGGTGCTCATATAACCTTAATCTACCCTAATCTGTAGATCATAACAATTTTCTGTGTTATTGCTCATTAGAATATAAATAACAAAAAGTTGAATGTGTTTTTGCTACCCATTTTACTCCGGTACCGAAGTAAAACTGGCATCTGATTCTAAAGTATTAGAATCAGATGCCAGTTTAAATCAACATTTACAAGAACAGAAAAAAAAGTAAAGACTTTATTTAAAAGTAAGTTTTTATATTAAAAGTAAAAGTTTTTATTCGTTCACATTTTGCTTAGATAGTACCCAGCGAACATGTCCTATTAGGGTCCATATGGGTTTGCCCAAGTAGGCTGTATATGGATACAAAATATCAATATTGTAGGCTTGAATAAAAATATCAATATTGTAGGGCCCATATATTAGTTAAAAAGCCTTAAATTCCATCTTATTTTCTAAATTCAGATGCTGTCCGATCGCGATAGTGAGGTATTATTAATCGAGGAAAATCAGTAAAAAAATTTATCGCTAAAGTCAACTTAGCCGCATGTTTCTTTAAAGACTTGGTCCATTTATAAAGAATAATCTTTTTCGAAAAATTGTCTTTTTATTTAAAGTCAAATCATTTTAAAAACTCCGTAATAGTGCTATTGATGTCGTTCATCAGTGGTAGTAAAAGTGTTTTAAATTGTTTTTGAAAATTATTTAAACGTTAAAGAGAACTTAAACAAAAAAGTTACAATGTCAGTTTTAAAAGACCAAAAAAATTTTTTTTATGTATAAAAAAGTGTTTGAAAGTGTATACGCTATTTGAGTTTTTATAAACCCACAAGAAAAAATGTATACAAAATGTGAGCTTTTGAAGAGAATTCTTACGCTATGATAATCTAATTAAACCTAATATTTAAATCTACATATTTATATATAACTATTATTCTTATTATATCATTATTTAAATACTGCGGTAAATTCACTGTATCATTTTCTATGGTATATTTACTTTATTATTATATAAATACTGTGATATATGCCTACTACTGCTTATCTTTTTCTTCCTATATTTGATATCATTTTTTACTTCTACAAAGCTAGACTCAAGTCAGATATATTTATGACTACATATTAAATTTTATCTAATTTATAAATAAATAATTATTCAAAATATTATAAAAAATTTAAATAAATAAAAAAGTGGGACCCATGTGGGTCCCACATATGCAGCCCATATGGGCTGCCCACATGGGTTCCAATTCGCGTCCAGCAACATTTTTCCTTTATCGTGATGTGGGCCTATAAAGCTGCCCACTTGGGCCCCATGTGGGGGCCAATATGAGTTGCTCGCTGGGTATTCTGTAAAGTTTTAACAAAATAATTTTCAGATGTACAAATTTAATTACAACATTATTAAAAGAAAACTCAGCGAGGTTTTTATTATTTTTTTTCTTGCTCTCTATAAAGCTTTTTACAAATCACATTAGGGGGAAAATCTTCATCTCCTAAAGGGTTGGATAGGATTAAATCTCCTTCAGCTTCATCCTTTACACAACAAATTTCTTTGCTTCTCTTTTTTTATTTTCTTTTTTACTTTGATTATTTAACCACACATCTGAAAACTATCACCATAGCCACAACCGCTTTACTCCCCCTCACCCTTTTTCTTTGTATTTTTTACTTTTTATTGTCTTAGACTTTCAACGACAAATTTCTTTTTAGCCATAATTTGCCTGATCTCGTTTTCTTCTTTTTCTAGATTTTTTTACTGTTTCTCTTGTTTCTTTTGACAAAGATGATCTTCTTTTAATGGAGACGTTCTTCTTCTGACGGAGATGACCAAAACTTTCTCATATGTATATTTTAAAAAGTACAAAGCTACAACTATTCTAAACTACACCCAACTTATCTAAAATAATAATACTGAACTTAATAGAAGTATTGCTTACTCCTACGTTAAACGAGGAGCTGGGCACATTCATGAAAGAAAGAAAAAGAAACGAAAAAGTTATTAGTACTTTATAAAAAAAAATAAAAAAATAAGTTTTCCTCTTATGGAAAACCAGGTCTTGATTTTCCATAAGAGGTTGCATACAAGATCAGACCTGTGTTTGACATTTCACTAAAAAAAATGAACTTCAAAAATGTCTTCATTGCAAGACTTAAAATTCGAATTAGTTGTTTAATTGAAATATTTGGAACCTCGTACCAAAACCAAAGTTTGTCACCTTGACACTGCTAAAGTTTGGTGAGTATGATGCAGTGGCTAATTTTAGCATTGGAATAAAACCACCAATTCTAATTTATGAAAAATTTAATATTCTTTCAGAATATTATATAACAAATGGTTTGAACAACGTTAACAAAATCCGCATTAAACGGTCGATTTATCGATTAAAACTACAAAACAAGCTGCGTCATCAAAAAGTCAAGGCAATAAAATTGAGGAAAATTGACAAAACTTTAGAAAAAAAAGACAAACATTTAAAACAGAAGGTTTTTAATTTTAACTATATTTTTTATGTAATATTTGGTATGTTAGTAGATTTTTTATTTATTTTTTACGCATCGCGCGTTTTCTTAGTTTGAGGTTTTTCAACTTGCCGGCAGCAAATACTAGAAAACCACTAAAAATTTTATTCTGAAGTTATCGCCAATTAGGTGGTTGCACCCTAAAAACCACGTGAAAGTAGAAGAGCCTAGAATTTTCTTCTAGAGGCAAATAATAATTTTTTGATTATTATTATCGATAGATAAGTTTAAATGAGGTTAATCCTGATAGGTACGGTTTAACGAGTCTAGCATGTGCTCTTTTGCTAGAATGTTAAAGTTGACTACTTTTTTCGACCTGCAAGCCGAAAACCACATTAACTAAATTGGCTATAATTTCTTAACTGTTAAAAATTATAATTTGATAATTTGAATTTAGGATGAGAGCATCACTGCTAATTTATATTTTGGAGAACACTTTAAATGTACTACAAAAATCATTTTCACCCTAAGCCACGTTGGTTTTTTTTTTTTTATAATTTTTGAAAATATTTAAAATAATCTAATAAAATATTAATTTAGTTTACTCTAAGTTTCTATTTGTCATCCATAAAATGTTTAATTTTTTATGTTAATTTACTGCGGAAATACTGCCATTGAAGCATGTTATATATATTTTTTGTTTATTCGTAATTTTAAAGTTTCATTTATTATATTTATAGTATTTATTAATAGTAAGTAAAATGAAATCAATATCCCCGTTACATTGATGTATAAACAAAGTAAGAAATCTTACTGCAAAAGCTGATGCCATAGTTGCCAGAAAACATACTAATGAAAGAAGTAAGCAACTGCAAGGTGCTATAAATTGGTGCAAATAAATACATGGGAGGGACAAGCATAGTTAAAAACTGGCGTGTTTCCTATTATCAAAGATAGAAAGAAAATCAACAGTATCGATAGAAAAGTGACTAATGGACAAGAAAAAAGTTATTCTTATATACTTACTGAAGATAAAAAGGTATTTACTGTGCGTTTTATAAAAAGTAATAACAGATCAACAAGTTTTGGTTATTTCCTGTTTATTAATTGTTTTACAAGCAATTAATGAACAAAAAGTAACTAAAAGTTAAATCTAAATGTGCTACGTATTGGGCGTCACACTAATACAAAAATAAATGGTAGAAGGAAGTTTCACAAACTAATATTAAATGCTTAAGCTGTACTGGAAAAAGAAAATTAAGTTAAAATAAAATCATTTAACCTACAATGATTCTCTGTAATCTAAATAAAGCAATCCGAACTATCTTTATGTTTAAATATCTCTTTTTTTAAAACCGAGTATTCTTTTTATATATAACGATACTCTTTTAAAGATTGAGTCAATCATTTTGGCTCTGCTAAACATAGCAGCCATTTTGGCTCCGCTAAACATAGCAGACATTTTGGCTCCGCTAAACATAGCAGCCATTTTGGCTCCGCTAAACATAGCAGTCTTACAATCAAACGAAAAACAAAAGTGTCTTTAAACCGTGCACTCAATTGTTTAGGAGAAACAGCATGTAATCATAAAGGTATCAGTTTGAAAACTTTTATAAATAAGTATCAATATACAATAATCAAACCAAAGAAACTATTCTTAAATATGCTAGAAGGGTTGGCATTAGCAAAAATCCATTGAGTGATGATTTATACAAAAATACAAATTTGAATGAGCAGAAAACTGTATTGAAGCAGAGAAACAGTCATTTCCCTGATTTCTTTACTTGATAAAAGACGTGGTTCAGCAAGTTACTGGAAATCAAAGTTCAAACAAGCTATGAAACTGAAAGTCTTACTTTATAAAAAGTACCTAACTAGAAGAAATACCAGGTTTTATGACTACCAAAGAGATTAACGAAATACTTGGTTCAACGTTAGTTGAAACCATTAAAGAAACAAAGAAAAAAAGTCAAAAGAAAAAGAAAACGCTGCTAAAATGAAAGAGAAAATTAAAAATATTTTTATAAAATGCTTTAATGTAATTGTGGGGATATATTAAGTGTAACGTTTACGGCTTGAAGCCGTCATATAACTGACGACGCTGTCTTTGTTTTTGGGGTGCATTCACATTTATGGCAAAAATTAAAACTCACCTTTTATCAAAAGATAAATACATCTCTTCCTATTAATGAGAGTTTTATTTTAAACGGAATAGAATTATGATATATTAAGAAAGAATTAGTATGGCAGGTTTAACTTTTCAAAAAATGACCTTTTTTCTGAACCATTTTAGGCAGACAGGTCCTCAGACACAGAACTTTTTATACAAATCTGTAACTGTTTATTTCTCTTTATATTAATGAATGTCCAGTTATACAAAAAACCATAAAGTGTTCTTTTCTATTAAAATATATGTTCTAATTATATATTAAAATTAATATGTAATCTATATACTATACTTGGTATTTAACCTTGTAAATGTTATTGTACTTAAATATTCATTTATAGCTCTACATTTTTTAATTTTTATTTTTGCTGTTAATTTTTTATAAATTTGCATTTGTTTGATTTAGGTTATGAAGATTATTTGTTCCCAATATTTATTGGAATTGTTTCTGGAGGTGCAACACAAAGTATTTCTGTATACCATGTAAAAATATTTTTTTTATGATTAATTAAATTATCTGGATTTGTGTATCCCAAGCAAGTTTCATAACTAATTTTTTACTCTGTTTCACAATACCAAGTCAAAAAACGCACATGGGATACACGCGGTTTTTTGCCTCATCACACCCATATAGAAATTATTATTTTGTTCCACGTGGGTTTCATATGTTAAATCTCGCATGGGATAAATGTAGAAAATTCCATATGGGTTTCATTTAGCAAGTTCCTTTTGATATATAAGTGGAAAACTCTACATTTGATATAAGCGGTAAACCCCTCATAGGAAATAGGTGGGAATACGTGGTATTCCCACCTATAGATTTTAAATCTTGATATATATTTACTTCTAAAGAGATAGGCTAGTTGATATCAATTATATAAAAGTGTAAATGTTTTAACGTTATTTAAAAAAACTATATGTTAAATAATTTAAAACCAATCATTGAAGCATTGAAACAGACACACTTTTATTTTTTTTTTTTTTTTATTTTAATTCACCTCCTCAAGGCCGAGAAGGCCTCTACAGACGAGGAGGCTACTTAATTGTGGTTATAACCCTCTCTCAACTCTATAACTCAGAAACACGAACTTTGACGAACAAGACCTCTGTGCGGAGAAACAAGTTGAGTGCGGTACTACCAGGGATGTGGCATTTAAGATCAATAACTAATGAAGAATTTTCACCTTGAGCCTAGATAGTTTAACTTAAAAGATTATAA